ACCAAAACGGCCAATACGAATTTGGGGGCTCCTTATTATAATTATAGTATAATGGGCCCCAAAACCCTACTCTAATTATTAAGGCCCCTACATTAGGACCCCAACCCTGTAGGGAGTTTGTTGAAAGTTGGGTTCGCGAAACCCGAAACCCTAAACCCTAAACCAGAAACCCTAAACCCTGAATCAGAAACCCTAAACCCTAAACCCTAAACCAGCCTTTGGCTCCGCCTCTGCCTCTGGGGGTTTCTTGCTCTTTATAAGTTTAGGGAAAAAATCAGGGGCCTAAGCCTCAATAATTACCAATAGTATTTTCGGGGTTCCTTATTATAGGTATGGTATAATATACCCCAAAACCCTGTTCCAATGATGAAGGTTGCTATTTTTTTTTTTGTGTCTGGTGTTGGCGTGCCGGTTTAGGGTTTTGGTTGAGGAATCAAAAGCCGAGTACATTCCTAGAAGCTAACCCTAAACCCGAAACACTTCACACATGGTACGGTTGGTGAACGTTTCAGTATATTAGAACCTGACCGCTCCTTTTTAAGCTCGACAACCTAAGTCCAATTTCTAATTCAGCATCTTTCTGACCCGCCTGAGCCCTGCTTCCTTATTTGGGGTATAGTTTGAGCGCTTGACAGCCCTGAACCCCAAAAATCCTTAAAAGCAACTACCCTAAACCCTTATAAGCCCCCAAAAGCCTAAAACAAGTAACTCTAAACCCCACAAGCCTCAAAAGCAGCTACTGCACCCCAAACCCTAAACCCCTCAAAAGCCTTAAAAACAACTACCCTAAACCCTAACCCCCAAAAGCCCAAAAAATCAATTACCCTAAACCCTGAAACCCCTAACCCCCGAAAGCCTCAAAGAGCAACTGAGCAAGGTCGAAGATGTTGGGACGGATCACAGAAGGCCTTTCCCTGGCCTGCCTGGCTTTATTGAGGGTTCGGGGCCTTAGGGTTTAGGGTTCGGGGCTTTAGGGTTTAGGGTTTAGGATTTAGGGTTTAGGGTTTAGGGTTTAAGGGTTTAGGGTTTACCTATAGTCTCCATTGTAGTCTTTTTGGTTTAACCATTTTTATTATCAGGATCCCATAAGGCAACCCAAAAAGGAACTAAAATGGAGACTATAGGTAGGCTTTAAAGTGTAGGGCTTAGGGAGGGCTGAGGGTGACCCTAAACCCTAAACCCTAAACCCTAAACCCTAAACCCTAGGCTCTAAAGTGTAGGGCTTAGGGAGGGCTGAGGGTGTAGAGTCGAATAAGGGCCTCAGGGCCCTGAGGGTTGAGGGGTTGAGGGGTTGTGGGTTGAGGGGTTTAGGGACTTAGGGGTTTAGGGGTTTAGGGTTTAGGGTTTAGGGTTTAGGGTGCCATAGACTGCATGGGCTGGGTTAACATCAAGAGTGCCCGACGGCCACGAAGCATCGATTGATGCGCTCACAACTC